GGCACACTCCACCTTCGGTCAGTGAGCGGCAAGACACGAAATCTCTGGCATACCACCATCACGGAGGCCAACCACCAACCACCATGCCGCCCCCACGACCATGGTAACTAGTGTGCACCCGAGCCCCGGTGTCCGCCCACGAGCACCGCGGCTCCCACCACCAGGGCCGCCATCCAGGAGACCGAGCCCATCCAGGGCCATGGGTGAAGCATTGGTCAACATACCCCAACCACCGGCATCGACCGACATGGCTGCTACTTCTTGAGATTGCATTGGTTTTTTCCTTGAAGAGAAAAGGGTGATGCAGCAAAGTAGAGATAAGTATTTCCTCAGTTAAGAACCAAGGTATCAATCTAGTAGGAGGAACACACAAGTCTCCAATAATCGCACCTGCACAAACAAACAAATACTTGCACCCAACGCGATAAAAGGAGTTGTCAATCCCTTCACGGTTACTTGCAAGGATGAGATCTGATAGTGATTTGCAGCAAGGTAGGTTTTTTTTTATTTTGTAGATATGAAAATAATATGACAAAAGATAGACCCGGGGCCATAGTTTCACTAGAGGCTTCTCTCTTAAAAGAAAGCATACGATGGGTAAGCAGATTATTGTCGAGCAATTGATAGAAAAGTGAATAGCTATGACGATATCCAAGGCAATGATCATGTATATATACATTACGTCCGAGACAAGTAGACCGACCGCTGCCTGCATCTACTATTATTACTCCACACACCGACCGATATCCAACATGCATCTAGTGTTTTAAGTCAACAAAAACGGAGTAACGCCTTAAGCAAGATGACATGATGTACAACGATATATCCAATCAATATGAACAAACCCCATCTTTTTATCCATAATAGCAACAATACAAATACGTGTCATGTCCCTTTCTGACACTGGGATTGAGCACCGCAAGATTGAACCCATTACAAATCACCTCTCCCATTGCAAGAAAAATCAATCTAGTTGCCCAAACCAAATCAATAGATCGGAAAGAAATACAAAGCTATATAAATCATGCATAAAAGAGTTCGGAAAAGATTAAATAATATTCATAGATAATCTGATCATAAAGCCACAATTCATTGGATCTCAACAAACGCACCGCAAAAGAAAATTAAATCGAATAGATCTTCAAGAACATCAAGGAGAACATTGTATTGAAGATCAAAGAGAGAGAAGAAGCCATCTAGCTACTAGCTATGGACCCGTAGGTCTATGGTAAACTACTCACACATCATCGGAATGGCAGCAAGGTTGATGTAGAAGCCCTCCGTAATCGAATCCCCCCCTCCGACGGAGTACCGGAAAAGGCTTCAAGATGGGATATCATGAGGAAAGAAGTTTGCGGCGGCGGAAAAGTTTTTTTTGGTGTGCCCTCTAGTCTTCGGGGAATATTTGGGTATTTATAGAAGAAGAATTAGGGTTATAGGAGCCAAGGGGGGCCCACAAGTTGGAGCCCCCCCCCCCTCCCGGGGGCGCCCCCCCTGAGCTTGTCGTTGCCTCGTGGCCCTTCTAGCCTCCTCCCGAAACTTCCAGGGTGTCTTGTGGTCCAAGAAAAATCTCAAAAAGTTTCGTTCCATTTGGACTCCGTTTGCTATTGATTTTCTGCAAAAACAAAAACAAGGAAAAACAACAGCTGACACTGGGTACTAGGTTAATAGGTTAGTCCCAAAAAATGATATAAAATAGTATAATAATGCATATAAAACATCCAAGATTGATAATATAATAGCATGAAATAATAAAAAATTATAGATATGTTGGAGCCGTATCAATGGCCATGACGATTAGGAACCATGAGCAACTAGGCCTGGGGAGAGGTGAAAGTGCAGGAGTAGAACTCGTCCACAACCTGCACCCCCTGTCCCGCCACGGCTCCATATGCCACCCATCGGAGTCACCCATGGTATGACGGGTGGCCCAACCTCATCGGAGCCACCCATCTGTCCTGCCACCGCTCCATATGCCACCCCCTATGACGCCCTACCATGGCTCCCTGTCCAGATCCACACATGTCCAGCCCAGCAACCCGCCCAATGAGCAATGTCCTAGACCACCCACACCCAGCCGCTATTGATGAACACCAAGACGCCCACCCGAGCCGGTGGCAGAACATGTTGAGATCCTCTTGAATTCGTGAAGTTGGCGATCTCGCCGACACTAATGTTGTGACATCGCTCATTTTTATCCCCTCCTACATAATTTTGCTTTCCTCCTTTTCTCTTCTTCTACCGTCTCATATCCTTGTGTTGTGTATGAATTATCTTTCTTCTCCTTGGATTACCATTTAATGTTTCTTCTTTTGCTTCTTTTACCTTACTGTTTGGGTCACCGAAGGCGGCCATCATAAGCAAAAACAACAAGAAAGGAAGAGGGCGTGGGTTTGACCACTATAGTATCATGAGACGTGAACACATCTACATAATAAATACTTAATGAAAAATCTGAATATTGCTTATTAAGTGTTGGTTGATGACTTGACATATACTCCGCTATTGCTTAATAAGATAATTACATAGGGAGTTATTTTAGAAAAGTAATGCTATGTTTGGTTTAAACTAAAAAATAAAGATGGGGTAATAGGAACGAAGTACGTTTCATATACATAAATTATTATGTACCTAAGATGCAATTTTAATGTGTTGCATAGATTATGTGTTAGGGGTCATTTCAGTACCTTAGATATATTATTGTGTAGTTCTACTGCGGACACTGCAATCTTACATGTAGCATCATAAGAAATTCTAATGGATATAGGTGTCTAGTTTAGAAACGGTTGAGTCCATTGATTATGAAACTGAAAGAAAAAGGAAGAAAACACAATTGCGCCATAAATTTGTTGTGCTACATTTATTTAAGTAATTTGTACTTCTTAGATATCTCAATTTACGCGAGAGTAGATATTATAGTCTGCACCATAACGCGCACCATCGGCAGCCTCAAACTAGATAGTAGGTCATCTCAGGCTTCCACCCGACTGGGATGAGATCTTTGGCTATAAAATTGCATGGGTACGACGATGATGAAGACATACTAAACACCATCAATGAAACTGGTGCCTAAATCTTCCTTTGAAAAAATTGAGGGACTTTCGAGGTAGCGCTTTCCTAAAAAAACATCAACTAGTCATAGTTACTTATCCTCGCATCTTTGAAGAGGATGGTAACGACGTTCGACAACACTATCCATAGAACGTACAAAACGGTAACTTTCATCTCTTCCGCCGTCACATCAGGATCTATAATGGTGCAGGTGGAGAGGCGTACCTGCAGTCTACCCTGAACAATAGTTGGTTTGTTTATAAAGTTTAAATGAACTGAATTTCAATCAAAAAATGGATTTTGGTGGTGGTGTTGGGGGCATTGTTTTCTCTAATCTATGCTCTCTCCAAAAAAACTTTGC